GAGGGGGGCTCAGGTTTCGGTCCGGGCCATTTTGGCCCAGAGCTGCAATCTTCGCGGTCGTCGATGGATTCAGCGGGCCGACAGTAATTGGGGGCAGCCGCACAGGTGGAGGGGGGTTCTTTCTCGATTGAGGAGCATTCCCCTTCTTTTCGGCATCCAATGGGGCTGCATTCGTCGACTTCTGGGTACTAGCCTTTCGGGCGACCTTAATAGCGGGTTCGGGGAGGGATGGTATGGAGAAGCTGCCAGTTGAATTGCTGTTGATGCTGCTAGCATCCGCTGCGAGGTTGGCTTTGCGCTTGTCCAAAAACGATGCCTCAGTGGCTGACTGCTGAGGTGATTCGTACGCTTTCGGAATGGCTGGTACAGGTGGAACGTCCTCCTCGTCATCGGCAGAATGGGAGTTATGATTATGCGGGTTCGACGACTTTGGCGCGGGTAGCCGCGACGTAGTACCCCCTGCGACAGGTGCTCGAGGTTGAATTGAGCCTGTCGAGGTTCTCACCGTATTGAAACTGTTGGTGGAGGTGATGGAGAGGCCGGAGCTGTACGATTTTCTGTTGACGTCGGGGGTTGTCCGGGAGGATGATGGCGTGGCAGATGTCTTCCGGGGTATCATTGATGGAGATCGAGAGTGCTCTCGATGCTCGAGCGGCGGTGGTGGCGGCGCGTTGGCCGCCTGGTTGAGACTCGGAGTTTGGTGCATGGACATGCGCTTCAATCTTCGCGTGTCCGTAGGACTGATGGTCCTGGCACCAAGTCCGCTTGCGTGTGACCCATGCTGCCCCCCCGGCATCATAGACTGCCTTTTCGATTGGGCCAAACCGTTATTAGTTCCTTTGCTGCCGCCTCGAGGTGATCTCGGAGAAATCGTCGAAAGGCGGGTGTTGTCTGGCGTTGATAAGTTGGCAGTGTTTGATCGGGGAAGTGGCTGGTGCATCGATTTGGCTTTTGTCGCTCTACTGTTGGCGAGATTCCGTGGAGTCTCAAATCCCATGCCGGCACCGGCATCCATCGAGGTCCGAGAGAAATCCGTTCCACTGCCAGCGGTGCCCATCAGGCTTGGTCTTCGACGTTGAGCAGTGTTACTGCCAAAGTCCGTTTCAATGACGCCCGAGCCGATGGATTTCCTGGGTGGCTTCGCAATGTTGGTGTTTGATACTGGGGGATAGTGGCTTTGTCGTCGAGACCTCGCTGCGGAGGCACCTGTTGACGCGTCTGCAGCGGATGATGGTCCAGAAGCGATAGATGAGATGCTTGGCTGTCTGCTGGACGTGCTAGGTCTTCTCAGAATTGAACCAGATCTTCCCGGGCGAGTAACGGGAGGTGGGATTCCACCACGCGCAGAGGCGCCATTCTGGGAGATGTTTGAGACCCCGCCCATCTTGTCGGCCATGCTCTCCGAGTCGAGAATACCACCTTGACCGGTCGGATTCGGAAATTGAGTCAATTTGAAGTCGTGCGAGGCCGACTCGAGACTGCTCTGTAGGTCGTCGAAACTGACCGAGGGCAGAAAATCGTAAGGTGTCGAGTCTGCTACTTCGTTCGCGGCGCCATTCCGTCCAAAAGAAAAAAGAGGGTGGTGGTTGTTGGCCGAAGATGCACTGAGCATTGGACCGCCGGCGAATGAGCCCTTTGAGGGAGAGTCGGTTCGCGAGTCTGGGATTCCCCTATTACTGCAGCAATCATCGGGTCAGCTCTCTGTAGTTATCCACCCAGGGATGCATGGGATGGGTATGGGTCTGGGCATAACAAAGCGGCGTGAACAGCAACGAAGAAACGAGGGCAAAGTTGAAAGGGGGAGGGGGGATGGGAATTGGCATACAGTCTGGTCGGGGACTGGTTCGCCGGTCGTGGGCCAGCAGGTATTCTATGCTCCCTTATCATGTGTACGCGGTGCAACGGCTAGCGCGCAGGTCATGCGAGCGTTGGACGTGATATGGCGTGAAGGCGAGGGCGGCAGAATGTTTCGAGGGGGAGAGGGTCGAATCAAGTCGGGCTTGTCGACAAAACGGAGCTGAGAGTCGGGTTTCGCGATGCGATGCGGGCGAGCTCAGTCCTGTCAGGGAGCTGAGGGCATTGAAGAAGCTACCTCATTCCGGAACAACACAAGACAGGCACAGGACGACGAAGGGCGGATGAATGAGGGTCGGCGATGTTGGGGTGACAAAAGGGACAGGATTTGAAGATGCGAGGATTGGCGTTGGTTGAAAGGAGGCGGGCACGGGAGGCGTAAACCACCAAACTCGGCCTACGGTAAGGTAGGAGTGAGGTTGGAGAGGGCCGGTGCAGAGATGAGAGGCGACGACGACGACGACGGCGACTGCGAATGGGCCGGGCTCTCTCTCTCTCTCTCTCTGGGTTGGCTGCGTGTGTCTACTGGTTGTTTTTGTTCGAGAAAGAAGGACCCGCTGCTCAAGTTGTCAGTGTGGTGGATTGGTGGTAGGCGGGCGGGCAGGTCACGACCAGGGTGGTGGAGCGTGCAGTAAATGGGGATGGATGGAGCCAGGAGCACTACACTAGAGAAGAGCACTGGAGCCTCTTGAGTTTTTCGTCTGTTTTTCTTCCCTTTCTCGTTGTTTCTCGACCCCCGGCAAAATGGTACGAAGATGTGAATGAGAAGCGTGCATCAGTGTGGAGGAGAGGCGGACAGAGAAGTGGATTGTCATTTGAGGTATCCGTAGACGGCAGCGGAAGAGTGAGAAAGAGAGCAGAGCAGGTAAGGTACTTCCTGGTTACCTTGGGCCGAACGGGGGGGAACTCTGGAGTCTGGAGTGCGAGGTCAGGCAGAGAGAAGTAAGTCCGTTTAGTTTAGTTTATTACTAAGGTACGGATACGGCGCAAAGGCACAGGATGCCCAAGGTGAAGTACCTAACGGCGGGCAGCGATGTCAGGTAAGGCACATGAGTACAAACAATACTCCGTACTACTCGTAGGTACTTGGTAGTAGTAGGTAATCAACCACCCGACATGTTCAGTCACCCAGTCCCGCCAAACTGCCAGTCAGGTACGGAGTACGCAACTCCCTATGCAGCCATTGTATCTAAAGAGAGGGTGGCAGCCGCGATGGACTCCGAACCATTCTCTGAGGGGAGGATCTGTCATGCACCTCGCGACTGACCTGAGGGGGACTCGCTAACACCCAAGGCAGGGCGATGCAGCAGTAGTGCGGGAAAAAGGGACCAATGTCAATAGACTAAATGAGCACCAATGTTCAGTTGATTGAGGGGAGTCGAGAGAGTTTATCCGTAAGGTACTGGTAAGGTAAGGTACGGAGTGCGGTTCAGGAACACACACCACTTTGCATACGCTACTCCATGCAGCTGCAGCACGTTTCCGCAGGACCGTTCTAGTGGCCAACTTTGGGCAAATGACGGTGGGAAACATGCATCCAAATCGAAATGGGGGAGGAGAAAAACAAAAATGCAGCGGCGGGTGGCGATGGACCTCATCCCTGGACCAAGGTACTCCGTATCCATGAAATGCGAGCGAGAAGAGAAGAAAAAAGAAAAAAAAGGGTGGTGGTCGGTGCAGTGCCCGCCGGCCCCTCTCTCACATTTTGGCAAGAGCGAAAGAAAGGGAGGTCGGGGAACCGCTCTACCTAACAGGGATCACCTGTTGATTGCACGAATTGCGCCAGTTCCTCAAAAGACGCGTGTATCGATTAGTACCGTGCGTATCACTTTGCCTGCAAAGGTACATATCATCTGTATCCTGATGTTGGGTAGCAAAGAAGAGCAGGGAGCATTGTCTTTCCCCTTCTGTTTGGTAGTATTCCATGATGTTATCATTCACCACTTTGCATCTCAAAAGGCAAGAACAACCATATTTCAGATACCCAGTACTTGCCTTACTTCGCAGGTACCCATGATAGCGGGGTGGTTCGTACCTCACACCGCATTCCCGTGGAAGGAACTCTCAAACCCATCAGGTCGGTGTGATCAAATGATGGAACCCGTCAAGTCTAATAGCGTGCTTTGGACCCCCTCCTATTCCCCAATTCCCCTCTTCCTTGGGCCCTGCCGCCCTTGGTCAAATGGCCGCTAAATAACCTCGACAAAGACAAATTGAGGCAAATCTTATGGACCGAGCGGATACCCTTTGTACGGAGTACGGATACAGATACCAGCCTTAGGACCTCGAATCCATCGCATCTCACTGTCTCCAGATCATACGGACAAGAATGCTCTACCTAGCAATTTAGCAATTCGGCACCATTTCCGTCGACCAACCAATCGACCCAAGTCTGTGGCCTGCCCTAAGTTCTACTTCACATCTCTTCCCGCTATCCCTACGAAGGTTCCAGAGAAACTCGGTCCCTGGCCGTTGAAGCGCCATCTGCAGCTGCGGGTTCTCTCATTTACCCAAGATTCTGCTGTCCACCATTACGAACAGCCAAATATGCAGATACAGGTTCAGATAGCTACCTTTGGTGCTTACTTTACATCTAGACAGATAGGTATGCCGGTCCGAGTAGACGGACCTCTGCACTCCGTACAAGGCGCCGGCCACCTACATCAACTAGCATCGCATGTCGTCGCCTCAGATGTACGGATAGTTTGGCTAGCATAGCTAGTTAGCATAGCTAGGTATCAACTCTACTCTTTCCGTACAACCGAACAAGCACGACTCGCCCCAGGTCCCAGCGACCCAGATCAAGTTTCGGGTTGCTGCAGCCGTCACACGCGTGTGTGTGCTTCGCGGGCGTCCCTCAGTCAGCGCCATTCACGTTGCTGCATCTGATCTTCTCGTCGCTTTCTGTAATTCGTTCCAAACTTGAATTGAGGGGCAACCAACGGTTGAGGAGAGCTTCCCGCGTTTGCCAAGCTCGCTGCTATTCGACGCGTCTTTCGTTTCCATTTGGGGCCAATTGGGACACTGCCGCGCCCGCCGTCACGGTCCAGCAGCAGCTCGGAGCTCCAAGAATGCGTCCCTGCGTCACCGCGGCCCGTTTGTTGTCCTCGTCGCCGTATCAACCAAGAGGAAGACCCTGGGAAAAAGTGGCATGGGGGTGACGGGTCAAGTGTCTCAACGCCCAAAAGCAAGATGCCCATCTGTCCAGTGGAAATTGGGGTTTCCGTGGCAAAACGGTCTGCTAGCCAGGGATTCCAATGCATGGGGGTCCCGCCATATGCAATCTGCAACCTGCAATCCTCCTCTCCGCTGCCCGTCCTTGGAGGAACACCGGCCGGTATACAACCACAGCCAACCAAGCCGTTTCCCGACCAGACGCCCGTCACGTAATTCGTCCGCTGCGGTCCTATGCCGAGGATCGCAGAAAGCTCATCCCTCGTCTCCTGGGACGACCATCGACGAGCCCAATATCAACGTCGGGGCAGTCAGCAGGGGTTCTCATAACATCCAGATGCCTTCCGTGCTTCCCTTCAAAACGCCTGGTCTATATCTCACGGCAGTCAACGTGGACTTGTGGCATTGGCGGGTAACTGTCAGAGGCTGACAATAGCAACCCCCAACCTCCAAGGATTGGCTATTTGTCCGGCTCCGAGCGGTGGCTTTGTCTCACGGGATGGATCAACGATTTTTGTCTGCAACCAATGATACGAATATCTGTCACTTGTCATCTGCAACAATTGGCCGACCTAGCAGAAGGGGGGACACTGACAACTGATACATTCGCCGTGCGTTTGTGGGCCATCAATGTAAAGTTAAAAATTGCGCCATGCAACAAAGCCGGTCGACTACTGAGCAAATGTCTGACGGGCTCTATCCGTACATGCAGATCAAAGCAGTCAGAGCCAGTCTGGTTGCTGCCGGCTATTGGTCGACCAGAGGGATTACTGGACACCTGTATGAAGGGACAAGATACATCAACACAAAACCGCATCGCCTTGGTTCCTGATGCAGACCATCATTTCGTGGGATATTGTTATGCCCAGGCCAACGACCAATTACCGAACACGATTTCCGGGCCTCTGCGTTTGTTTTCTTAACAAGGTGCTGCTATAGTCCTAGAACACACCGCCTGCCTCATCGTCTCGCGGAACCGGGGTCCAGCAGGTCTCTATTTCGAACGCCCTCAGTCTACAATGCGAACCATCGAATTTGGGATCTAATCACACAAAGCGACTTGTCTTTGGAGATTTTCATCAGCAGCAAGTCACTTCAGGCGGGCATTGGGAGGTTTGGTAACTCGAGTGGGCAGAACCAATCGGCGATCTAAACGCAACTCACGTTTGAATCGCCTCACCTGAGCTATAGAATAAGGTTCGATCGAGTTGGCCAACCGTCAACGGAGCATTATCAAGCCTCGAAGCAACCCACTAGGAGTAGGAGTCCATGTCGAGGCCTGAATAGCGAAAGTGGCTTTTCAAGCTTCAAAGTCGAATAGAAGAACTCCTGAGTTCTGCCAAGCTGACACTCGCGAGTTCCTTATTACCTGGGGTCATTGATCTACTCTAGCCTCCATTTAGGTGCTTCCTCTATCAACTGAAGAAAACACTAGTCCTTTGGCTTCATTCCAACTCCGAGCCCGGGCTGCCTCGAGTCCCCAGCTTCTGCCCCTAACGCCCAACAGAGACGGATCAATCATCCCGCCTCTCGTGTACGAAAATAGCGTGTACGTATACTCCGTACAGAATTACGGATAGCACAGGCAGACAAGTAGAGTACGGTACACTTGTCACGCACGCCGCCGATGCTCTTAGAGCTTGAGCTTGCCACAGGGCAGGTCAACCTTGCCCCGAGTGACTTGGACTGGCATGCGATGGCAGAAACAAGACAGGGTCCGAGCTGATCAAGGGATGCCTCCTTTTCTCTCTGGTGTGCACTCTGGAGTCTGGAATTGTCTGGATTCCTTTCTCTGCCCAATTCCGTCCGTCCCGTTTTCCGTTCTCCGGGCCTGCCTGCGGCGTCCACAACGCACCCTTCTTCCTCTCCTTTGTCACAACTACAACTACGGAGTACACACGTGGACTGATGATGCGGGAAGCACTGACCAACGCAGGCGGCCAAATTGTTGGTGTAATTTCCCAATCCCGTTTCTCGTTTCATGGAGGCTCCGTCAGGATTTGGTGATCCATCACTGTCCGCCCAAAGTGATGGATATAGAAAAATCATTCAACGTTGAAGACCCTTGTGATTTGACTAAATGTTAGTTCAGTTGACATTGAGAACGGCCAACGTTTCGTGCGAGGAGGCTGGCACAATTGGCAACCTCTACAGACGGGAGAGTTACTTCCCTGGCTTCAGGAGCTGAAACAGCCGGCCAGAAGTACGGGAAGTTAGACTCATCCATCGCCATCTGGTGTCTACCTACTCTGTGTCTCTTTTTTCTGTTGTGTATGCAGATGGCATAGAGACAATGTCTCTCTGTGAATGGACCGATCCAACATTTCACCTAGATAGTGTTTCCGCCGTCTGTCCAGATCTCGTGGACACTTTGGTTTCTTATTGGGCCGCCACAGCCGACCAGTGTCGGTTTCCAGGCTCTTGGCTCTCTCTCCGCTTCCCGTGGACAATCAGCCAGCGGGGTTTGGAGGAACGGATGCGGGCATCCGTACGGGGAGAGACGCACGCCGTATGCTGGGCTACGACACTGCCGCTGGACCGTAGACAATGTGAACAGGCTTCAGTGGAAATTCTGTTCCTGCAACATGAGAGAGACCACTTCCAATGTGCGTTCTGGCGGTAGTAGTAGGGAGAAGGGATGGGGTCATGGATGATTTTTGTCGTGTGGCAGGTGCTTACTGGGGCATGTGATGTCCAACCACTGCAACTCGGCTGCCACGGGCTTCTGCGGTCTGCTGGCATCGGACCTGGTTCCCCACGCTGCGGCCCAAATCACATGCAGGCTTGCAGCTTGGGGGGAGGAGCTTCCGCCGGTCCAGCCGGACAGCTCCAATGACATTCCCCATGCACCAATCCACCTCAGAACTTCAACGTCTCACACCAGCTTACATAGCTTCCGGAAATTTCAAAGAAAACTTAGCTTGACCACATCTGAGCTACCTGCGCAAAAGAGAGACACAGATCTCGTTACCAGCCGTCTTATCCCTTTGCTTTTCCAGCGAAGCGCAACCGCACCGCACCGCACGCGCAAGAGCATTGCCTGGCGGCTGTCCGCCAAACGATGACGTGACCTCCCTCCCACGACTACAACCCGCCAGCAGCAACGAAACAACCGCCGGCGCATCTACCACCATCACCACACACCTGGCACAAAAGGTACGGACCATGGACGAGTATACGGCCGACCTCTTCATATCCCGCGACGATGCCTCGGATCATCAGCCGCATGCGCAGCCGCCTCCGACCGTGGTGGTCGACGAGTGGCCTCACGACTCCGACGTCAGCGAGGGCACCCCGTCCAAGAAATCGCCCTCCGGCCTGCGCTCGCGCATCGCAAACAACCTCAGCAAGAAGACGAGCATCCAAGACCGTCTAGTCGAGAGGTAAAGCCTAACGTCCCCGAGGCGCACACCACGATCTCTCCTCGAGAGGAAACTGAAATGCTAACTAGATTGCTTTTCACTTAGGCTCCTCCAACAGGTCATCCCCGAGAGCTCCGATGGCCTCACAAGCGGCGGCGACGACCCTCTCGCCCCGGGCTTCTCCCCGGACAAGAACAGCACCTTTTCCGAGCGGCCCAACTTCAACATTACCACAATGTCCAACAACTTCCGCCGCTTCAACGCTCGCATCGGCGTCGTCTTCAAGTTCCAGGCCCGCGTCGTCCGCCTCCTCAGCTGGCGCCGCCCGACACACACCCTATCCCTCCTCGCCGTCTACACCTTCGTCTGCCTGGACCCGTACCTCCTAACTGTCGTACCCCTAGCCGGCTTCCTCCTCGCCGTCTTCATCCCCTCCTTCCTCGCCCGCCACCCGGCCCCGCCCTCCGGCACCTTATCCTCGGAACAATCCGTCGGCTACTCCCCCAAAGGTCCGCCCTTGGCCCCGGCCCGGACAGTCAAACCCGTCAAGGAGCTCAGCAAGGACTTCTTCCGCAACATGCGCGACCTCCAAAACTCAATGGACGACTTCTGCGTCGCCCACGACGGCGTCGTCGCCACCGTCCTCCCCATCACAAACTTCTCCAACGAGGCCCTCTCCTCGGCCCTCTTCCTCGCCCTCACCCTCACAACAGTCCTCATGACAACTTTCGCCTCCCTCCTCCCCTGGCGCCTCATCGTTCTCCTCGCAGGCTGGGCCGCCATCCTCTCAGGCCACCCCGCCATCGCCCCGCTGCTGACACACACCCACGACACCCACGTCGCCCCGCGCGAAGCCCACGCCCGCTCCAGTGTCGACGCCTGGATCGCGGGCGACATCATCCTCGACTCGGCGCCCGAGACGCGCGAAGTCGAAATCTTTGAGCTACAGCGTGCCTCCCACGACGAGTGGGAGCCCTGGCTCTTCTCCCCGAGTCCGTACGACCCGCTCTCCCAGCCTCGTATCGCGAGTGAGCGGCCCCGCGGCACGCGCTTCTTTGAGGACGTGTTACCCCCCGACGGGTGGGTTTGGTCCGAGAAGAAGTGGGCGCTGGATCTGTGGAGCAGGGAGTGGGTGGAGGAGCGCATCATTACGGGCGTCGAGGTCGAGACGGAGGGGGAGAGGTGGGTTTATGACATGTTTGATGAGAATAGTGCCGGTGGTTACGGGGGTCCCGTGGACTCGTCGCCGACGACTGCCAAGGGCAAGACGAGGGTTCCTTCTGCGCCGCTGTCGGGATGGGAGGAGGGCGAGGATGGGACGGGAAGGAGGGGGGAGTGGAGGCGGCGGAGGTGGGTTAGGCTTGTCAAGAGACGGGCTACGATGAGTACTGCTTGAGGGGGGGTTGTGGTGGATTGTATAGTATAGTAATGATGAATGATATGAAATCCAATGGGCAGTCACTTCAAACTTGATCTTCCAACGTCAGTGCGGATATGGCATCCTCCCTAAGCTTACGTCTGTTCATCTTGACGTGTACTCTCGCTCAATGCTCGAATGTACTGGGATCGTTGTATCGCCAGTCATAGACAACTATCAACATGTTTCTGGAGTTGCGAAATCGTCATTATCGTCAAGTTATTCATCTACGGGTCTTCCCTGCCCATCCATCCAAGAAAACTGGATGGAAGGGAAAAGGGCATGGGGTGGCCGAGAGTCCTTTTCCACGTTTGCTTCTCCCCCCCTTGCCTGACCAAGTCTAAATGCAGCCGTCCCGCTTGCCAGCCGATTACAAGGTTTCACCAAAAACCCACCCAACACCTAAAAGGAAAAGAAGGGAGAGTCAGGGTCCCTCGTTGCATCTCTCAAAAAACCAGAGAGCAGATGCTCATCCATCGAAATGCCCTGCGACCTTATCTCGTCGTGATCCAAGCGTGCCTCGGATGAAGTCCCCCACTCCATCACGTCGAGTTGTTTTGCGAAACGCTCTCCCGCCTCCACGAAGAGTGAAGAACCAAAAGCCATCCGTCATCAAATCATGAAGTTGTATTCTTGTCCGCAAGGACCATCTTGTCGAGAATCTTGTGCACGCCCTTGGTCAACCCGCGGCCCTCGTCGATATCATCGGCAATCTTGCGCGCGCGGTCAATGAGCACGCCGACGACCTGCTTGGTGTACTCGAAGCTACCAGTGCTCTCCATGCGCGCGACGGCGAAGCGCTTGACCTCGACATCGTTCGTCTTTTGCCCGAGGATGTTGATGAGCTGCAGGTTGGACGGATCGGAGCGGATGCTGTGGATGATGGGGAAACTGAACTTGCCCTCGGTTAGGTCCTCGCACATTCCCTTGTTGTCCGAGTATTCTTTTGACGAGAGGTTCATGTAGTCGTCGCGGATCTGGAAGATGAGGCCCATAAGGTTGACGAGCTCGGAGCAGTCTGTCAGGCTGCGAGACTCGGCTTGCATGAGCTTGATGCCCAGGCGGAAGAGACCGCCCGTCTTGTTGCCGACCATTTCGAGGTAGTCCTCTTCTGTAGGACAGGTGAGGGTGTCGCGCCAGAAGAGGTCCATACCCTGGCCGCGGTGAAGGTGGACGAGCTCTTCGGCAAAGATGGAGATGGTTTTGGGGTTCTTGAGGCGCTGGAGCTCCTGGAGGGCGCAAAAGTAGATATAGTTTGCCGAGTTAATGGTCTGAGCTACACCAAAGATGTTGTGGGCGACGGGGAGGCCGCGGCGGAGGGAGGACGAGTCCTCAACGTCGTCGATGAGGAGGGAGGCCGTATGCAGCATGCCAACAACGTTTGTAATGACATCGATGCTGGCCTGGGGTACCTCGAGCCAGACGTTGAAGGCCTGGATGAGCTGGGCGCGGAAGTCCTTGCCCGGGTGGGCAAAGAGGTAGTCGAAGGGGCCGGTGATGACCTTGTCCTTCTCCTCGGGCCAGGCCTTGCGGGTGAAGTTCAGGTCAGAGGACGCGTAGCGCGAGGGGTCCGGGGGCGGGGGGGGCTGCATCGTGAGGGTGAAGGAGGTGGCTTGGTTGGTCCCCAGGGCGGGACGGCGAGACCGGTGGGACGAGTGTGAGAGCGAGTGCTTGTGGGCGTGGGTTTGGCCGTGACCGTTGTTGGTGTTGGCGTAGTTGGCGCGGGAGAACCAGTCGGTCTCGGGAACGGTACGGAGGGGCCCTTTCGAGGTCGAGGGCATGGGCGCGGCCGCGTGGGCGGAGAGGGAGACGGGAGCGGCGGCGGAGTTGTGGCCGATGGAGGATTTGCGCGAGGGGATGATGTTTGGCGGGGAATGGGGAAACGAAGAAGAGGGGTTGCCGATATTTGTAGGATCTGAAGATTTGTCGGCGGCTTTGTTTGAAGGAGGAGAGGACGACGAAGATGCCGACGGGTAATTAGGCACCATCGCGAAAGGGAGTCTTCTCCAAGGGACCGGCTGCCAGGGGAAGAAGCGTGGCTTCTTATGGCCGTCTGGTAGGGAGGACCCGGTCTCACCAACACCACCAGGAGCTACAGCTGCGGGAGCTCCAGGTGTTGGCTCAAGCTCAACAGAGCTCGTGTGGGCTGGGGATGCGGCGTTGTGGAGCTCTGGCTGGTGGGTTGTGGTAGAATCGGTCAGCTGGCGCCGTTGCTGTAAGCCCGTGTAAACGTCACCACTTGCTCAGCCAAGGTAAGATTCTGCCTGAGGGGAAACATAGTAGGTTGTGAAATGGTGTGGTGGTGGATTGGATAGGAGCGGCATTGCGGAAGGCAGTTGATTGCTGCATATGCGAGTGCTTTTCTGCCTGTGTCTGTATTGGTCCGTGGAATATGTGCATGTGCTGTCTTTTGGCGGGGAACAAGATGAGATGTAGACCGTCATGACTTTTTGTGAATAGGACCTTTTCTCCACACCCTGCTGCAAGGGAATAGGCGTAGGCAAGGATGGTGGGTGAACCGGAATAACAGAGGGGAAGAAGACCAAGCCGGGTCACTGAACCTTGCTTGGAAGGTCCTTGGTGGGAGCAGAAGATGGATGTGGCGGGTACCTGAAAAGTCCTAGACAGACCTGCAGTAGACAAACAAGAAGAAGAAAGCATGGAAGAAAGCAACAAGGCAAAATGAAGTTGGAGATGGACAATCACATGTCAATGGAAAGCACTTTGCGCACCTTGAACATGCAGCAGCAGCAGCAGGAGCAACGATGGGAGCTGTGGCAGGTGCTGATGGAGCCTTAATTGCCCAGGGCAGAGCTCGACTGGTGGAGCTCTTATCGATTGACCAGTGGGGAGATAGGCGGGCAGGCAGGTACGGCCCGGATAAGATAGGTAACGTATTCGGGCTTATGTTGAGACCGAAGGAAGGAAGACGTCATCCAATTCGCGGTTGGTCCTGGTGGCCGGGATTCCGTCGATGCCGAGCTCCAGACGGGTGCCGCGGACTCTGATCCGGGTGGGTGGCCGGAGAAGCAGCGGTGGCAGGAGGAATACCGAAGTCAAGAAAAGGAGGGAGACTTGGGGGCCCGGATATCTCGGTGTAGTGATGACTCGTCTAGTCGTTGCTCTCCCGCTTGGTTGAAGTCGAACGGATGAAATGGAGCGGAGAAGGAGAAGAAGAAGAGCAAGCGGGTGGGCGCTCAAAAAGAGAGAGGTTCGTGCGAACTCTTCGTCTTAAGAATCGGCCGGAGCACGGAGGAGACACGGACACCACCCACCACAAGCCAACGTGGAACTTGGGAGTATTGGGGAAATGGGCTTCTAGAAGAGGACGAGAGCGAGCCACTACTACCTTGGACACTAGACTCGAAGTTCTCGGATGTCACCCAAAATCCTCCTGATCCGCGTGCTTGTCGCCCGTCACTCTGTCACCCCTTAACCATGTGCTTCCCATGTTTCCGCCCAGTGCTCCATCCTGTCGCCGTGTGATGGACCGGGTGAGAGGCGGAACAGCAGTAGAGGGAAGAGAGAAAGGCAGCTCGCTCCGAGTCGGAGCAACTCTAGACAACTAAATGTGCCATCCCCTCGCGTCTTCAGGTTTCATCAGTGTTAAGTGCCGGTCTTAAGCACCCGCAGCTGTTGTGACGGGGCCGGCAGAGACTCACCCTGTCCCATTCGACGCCGCCTCTCTGCAGTACTCCACTTCAGGGTCAATGTCAAAGCCTCGCTTATTTCTATCTGCGCCCGATGGAACGAAAGATACAGTTGAGTGAAGGCTTGAACCCTGCTCTCCGAGTTCCCATGCATGGAAGGAAGAAGAGAGCTCATGCAAGAAGGGAAAGCCCAAGATGCTTAGTTTACCGGCCCGTGCCCCCCACAGCACCACAATGCGCCAAACGCAGCCCAATTGACCCGCTTAGCTAAGAAACCATCACCCAACTGACCACTCAGAGAGCAGATTTCCTCTTTTGGGCAGCGCTACATCCCCATCCCAACGTGCTGGATCGACCCGGTTGCCGGGGCAGTAATCGTCCAACGCAACACAAACAACCCGCATTGTCTACCAACATCGTCGCTTTCCAACTTCTACTATACGGATACCTTATTTTCCACATGACTCCAGCTCCCCCATCACGCTACCGGGTAGTCGCTCATCAATGACCACCTGCGCATGCGCCCTCGCCATTGAACTTTTTATTTTTTGCCTTTTCCACCTCCCTCTCTACAATTGGAACTGTCGCGCAATTGTGATACGCCCCCCTTCTCCAGATCCCTAGAGGACTTGTCCTCGCCAGCCTTTCTTCTTCTCTCTTTCTGTATTAACAATTACCCAACGGTGCTGCTGCTTTCCAGACTCGACTTCTGTCTCTATCCTTTGATCCGACGCAACAGCATTTCATCACAATCAAATCATTCGCAAGTCGCATCACCGAGAACCGTATCGCATCGTCTCTTTTGTCCTTGCCAATTTACATCAACTATCGCCCGATAGTCCTCGATACCCACAACCTCCAATCAAGCCACCAAGCCACCGCCTACCACAAGAGCACACTCAGAAAATCAGACATAATGGAGAACCTCCTCAGCCTTGCCTTTGATGGACTATCCTCCTACGACGGTCCCAAGATTCGCAAGGGTCTGCGCCAAGTCGAGGGTCTCCTTGCCCAAATCTGCCTCTCAGCGCCGGCAAAGTCGAGGTCACCCACAACGGACGATGATGCGTCCCATAACAGCGGAAAGTCTCTAGCGGACTTGTCAGACGACCCGGCCTTCCGCGAATTCTTCAAGCTGCAGGAGGGCTTCGAGTGGAACGTCGCACTGCGCCTCATCAACACACTCGACCGCCTCATGGGCAAGGGCACCGACGGACAGAACGACCTCCTTATCCTCAGCTCGCTGGACCTGATCCAGGGTGTCTTGTTACTGCACCCGCCCAGCAAAGCTCTCTTCTCACGAGAGCAGAACATGAATGTACGTTTCCG